GCTGCTGCTGCTGCTGCTGCTGCTGCTGCTGTTGCTGTTTCCCTTGTTGCTACTGCTGCTGCTGCTGCTGCTGCTGCTGCTGTTGCTGCTGGCGTTGCTGCTGGTGTTGCTGCAGCAGCAGGTGCAGCATTTTTTATGATAAGGAAGCAGCAAAGGAAACGCTGAGAAGCCTAAATCAAGAGTAATGCCTCTCTGTAAACTCTGAGGATGCTTATCTAAGGCACATGTGCTGCAGAGAAGAGACAGACAGCGACATACCGATGTCTTGCCTGCATCTACATGCCCCAGCACACCTACATTAATACTCACTGTCTCCCTGCAGCAGCAGCAGCAGCAATCACTCAAACAGGAGGAGACAGACCCTTTATCTCGTACAGGAAGCACCTTAGACGCACCCACAACACCAACAGCATTCTGCTGATCATCCTGCTCATGATGCTGCTGCTGCTGCTGCTGACTCGGCTGCTGCTGTTGCTTCTGCTGCTTCTGCTGATTCTGCTGCTGTTGCTGCTTCTGCTTCTGCTTCTGCTGCTGCTGCTGCTTCTGTTGCTGCTGCTGCTTCTGTTGCTGCTGCTGCTTCTGCTGCTGCGGTTGCTGCTGCTTCTGTTTCTGCTGCTGCTGCTGCTGCTGCTGTCCTTTAGGAGAGGCTGCAGCAGGCAAGCGGGGCCCCTGGGGGGGGCCCCCTGGGGGGGGCCCCCAGAGGCCTTACACATCAGCAAGCAAGAAGAAGAAGGTGCAGGGAAAAGGGAAAAAGAGAAGACAGAAAAGTGATACTCGAGGGTTTAGGGTTTAGGGTTTAGGGTTTAGGGTTTAGGGTTTAGGGTCTAGGGTTTAGGGTGTAAGGATTATTATAAGAAAAAGAATGTTTATTCTTATAAACTTTTATTGTTTTATTACACAAGAGAAAGAGAAGAAATACATATCCTCTTGGGGGCCCCTGTGGGGCCCCCCTGCTGGGGGCCCCTGCTGCAGCAAGGAGCAGCAGAGCAGCAGAAGGCTGAGTTAAGAAGAAACCCTCCTTTTATTATTATTAATTGAATTAAAATAATAATAATTATTATTATTATTACTATTTATTTGAACTGTGCATGAAGAAGAAGGAGATAAGGTGCTGCGTTTGTTTGTTTCTTTTTGTGTTGCTAGTGTTGCTGCTGCTGCTGTTGCTGACTCTGCATTTGCTGCTGCAGTTGCTGCTGCAGCTGCTGCAGCATTTAGAGTTAAGAAGATGGCTAGCTTTCTTTTATCAATGTTGGAGGAGGAAGCCAAACAGAGAGAGGCCCCTTGCAAGAAGAAGAGGAGACACAAGGGCCTCGATTGCTGCGGCAGCGACACCACTCCTGCAGCAGCAGCAGGAGCAGCAGCAACAGCAACAGCAGCAGCAGAGGCAGCAGAAGCAGGAGAAGCACCAGCAAGAGCAAAACGCGGTACAGAGTCTTCGCGCTCAGCTGCAGCAGAAGGAGCAGCAGCAGCAGGAGCAGCAGAAACAGACGCAGCAGCAGCAGCAGCTGCAGCAGCAGCAGCAGATCCTCAGCAGTCTAAATGTGCAGGATACCCCCAACGGAAGCGGAAGGAGATCAGCAACAGCAACAGGGGCAGCATCACTACCAGCAGCAGCAGCAGCAGCAGCAGCAGCAGCAGCAGCAGCAGCAAGACTGATTCTAAATCTTCTTTCGGCTTTTCTAAAGGCGGCAGCATATCACTACCTCATTCTTCAGAAGGGGGCCCCTCCTCTGCTGCTGCAACTGGGGCCCCCCCTAAAGCTAATGGGGGCCCCCATAGGGCCAATGGGGGCCCCCCTAGAGGTCATGGGGGCCCCCCTAAAGGTCATGGGGGCCCTTATAAAGGTAAAGGGGGCCCCTCTACGGACCAAGGGGGCCCCCCAGCAGCAAGATGGGGGCCTCCTTCATCCCGAAGAGGGGGCCCCCTTCCTGCTGCAGTTGGGGGCCCCCAAGCTGCTCGCACATTTCGTCCTTCTATAGGAGTTGAAGGAAAGAAAGAAGGTGCTGCAGCAGCAGCAGCAGCAGCAGCAGCAGCAGCACCAGCAGAAAGAGCAGCACCAGCCGGAGCACCAGCAGCAGCAGGAGCAGCAGCAGGAGCAGCAGATAAGAAGGGTTTGGGTTTAAGAGACGAAGAGATGCTGCCTGTGCTACGTTATCAAGGTTTGCTTCGTGCTGCAGTAGACGAGAAGCAAATAATAATAGTTGTTGGGGAGACAGGCTCAGGAAAGACAACTCAGATCCCTCAGTTGCTGCTGCGCTGGGGTGTATGTACACCGGGGACGTGTATAGTAATATCACAGCCTCGGCGAGTTGCTGCTGTCTCTCTTGCTGCTCGTGTTGCTGCTGAGATGGGTGAAGCAGCAGTAGGAGGAGTTGTGGGGTTTAACGTGCGTTTCAGGTGTATACGCAGCTCTCGTACAAAGATAATGTTTATGACGGATGGTATGCTAGCAAGAGAGATAATAAAAGATAAAGAATTAAATAAATATTCTGTTGTTATTATTGATGAGATGCACGAGAGAACCGTGCAGACAGATTTACTTATTGGGTCGCTTAAGCTGCTGCTGCAGAGAAGGAGGGATATTAAATTGCTGTTAATGAGTGCTTCTATTGAAGTTAAACAAATTATACACTTCTTTCCTTCTGCTGCTCTTGTTAATATCCCTGGAGTTGCGTTCCCACTCCAGATCCTCTACACCCCACAACCCCAAGAAGACTTCATTGAGGTGAACTCACAAACATATTGCACACGACCCCACAGAAGATAGAGACGATCCCACTGAAGATAGAGACGATCCCACAGGATATAGAGACGATCCCAAACGATATAGACACGATCCCATGGGAGACGATACTAACAAACACGATACCACAGGAGATAGGGACAACCCCACAGGAGACGAACACGATCCCAGAGGATACACCAACACGATCCCAGCGGAGACGATACTAACAAACACGATCCCACAGGAGATAGACACGATCCCACAGGAGACGATACTTGAAAACACGATCCCACGAGAGACAGCAAACACGACCCCACAAGAGGCAGCAAACACGATCCCACAAGAGACAGCAAACACGATCCCTCAGGAGACAGACACGATCCCACAGGAGACACCAACACGATCCCAGCGGAGACAAACACCTTAAATACGAAGGAGCCCATAGAGACAGAAGAATCCTCTGTCTTCTTTCCTCTGTGCATGTAATACGTCTGCTCTGTCTCTGTCTCTGACTTCGTCTCTGTCTGTATCTCTGTATGGAGAATAATAATAATAATTAATTATAATAATTATAATAACAGTCTCTATCGCTTCTTTGCTCGCTCCCGTTTCACGACGCTTCGTAGAGGAGTTATAAAACATTATCCGCAAGGAGCGACTACTGCGACGAAAATAGGGTTTAGGGTTTAGGGTTTAGGGTTTAGGGTTTGTGTGTATGTACAGGCAGCAATGCTGACGGTGCTGCAGATACACCTGGGGAGTGCTGACGGAGACATTTTGGTGTTCCTCCCGGGGCAGGAGGAGATAGAAAGTTTAGAGGCTTTGCTTCGCCTGAAGCTGCAGCAGCTAGAGGCCTTTGTGCAGCAGCACCACAAGCAGCAGCAGCAGCAGCT